AGTCATCCTCAACGGTCGGCGTGGGTACGAAATAAGGCCTAGTGAACACTGACGAAACCGCGTTAAGGACAGTAGCGTGGTCACGCAATCTTCATCCAAGATTGTGAACCACAGTGCAAGATGTGACATTCGAAAAGAGTGCGACTTGTAGCGAGGAACCACGAACCTTTTGGAGCAGGCCAATTTGCGAGCAGATTGTCTGCAGGGGAGCGAGTATGCACTCATCTATTCGAACAGCTCGATACGAGTATCTATGGTTTCCTCGCTGCACCCGGCACATCCCACCAGCGCTCATGAAGATCCCTCAAATCTACTTCCTGGCCAGGCGCCTTGAGATATGAGGTCAAGTCAGTCGATTCATCGAGCTCTGCCTCAGTGTACCCATTCCCAAAATAGGCGAAGCGGTTGCCCTTGTGTTCGCGTTCGTACTCCCAATCTTCCCATCGGGGCTCCCGTCTAGCTATGGTAAAGTGTGCAGCTGAACCAGGCCATAAGCCGTGAATACGCTGTCCAGGAATTCCGCCATTGTTCCAAGACGAACACTTGTCGGTCAAGACTGTGGTCGGGAAGAAAGCGTCACAGTAGTCGACAAAGTCATCTGTTGCCTCTTTCGATGGTGTTAGGGACTTGAGTCCTTGTGAAGAGACTTTGCGGAGTACTTTGGCGAAGTAAGTGAGTGACGTCTCTACACCATGTGGCACTGTGCCCGAAGGGCCGGTAGCATGCGGACCGGCTAGGAAGAATAGGTTGGGAAAACCAGGCGTGGCCAACCCTAAGTACGTGTATGGAAAGCCCCATTTACCTCCGGGCTTCCATGCTTCGTGGAGGTCCTCTCCACGCGCCTTGATCGAAAACGGTGGAACGAGATCGGTGTTGGCACCGGTCGCGCAAAATATCGCATCAAATTCGAAAGTCCTGCCATCGGTCGTTTCAATGCCCAAAGGTGTGAAACGCTTGATAGGCGACTTGACGAGCTCCACGTTCGCTTCGGTGAGAGACTCCAAGTAGCCAGGGCCCGGTGTGAGTCGTCTGCAATGCGGGGCGAAGTCTGGTATCAATCCATCGAGCAATTCGGGCTTTTGCGCTACCCGCTTCTTCATGACGTCAATAAACTGCTCTCGCATGCCTTGGTTCTCAGTCGATCCACGAATCATGGCTCGAAATCGTCTCCAGTATCGATCTTCGAGATCTTTTCTGAAGGCCAGATACAGTCCAGGATCTTCCAGAGCCTTGCGCTGTTCCTGCGAGTATGGCTGTGGCTCGAAAGTCCGCTCATCGCCTGCCCACGATGTCGCGATCCATGTTGGATTGCGAACGAAGTGAGTGATGTGTTTTGCAATGGGTTGTAGATTTGGCACGACCTGAATACCACTTGCGCCGTTCCCAATGACAGCGACTCTCTTGCCCGTCGGATCGAACGAAACGTCCCAGTTCGACGTGTGTCTTAGATGGCCTTGGTAGTCGTTCAAGCCCGGATAATCAGGTAGCTTCCAAGAGTTGAACCGGCCAATGGCGGTGATGACGAAATCGAAGGTCTCCGTCGATGTGGTGTCATCTTTGAGGTTACGCACCGTCACCCGCCATTTGGAGTGTGCATCATCCCATTCCGCCGCGTCGACGCGGTGCCGAAGTCTGACATACTTGTAGACGTTGTGCTTCTTAGCCTGCGCCTGCCAATAGTCACGGATCTCAGCGCCTCGCGCGAAAATCTCAGACCATTGCGTGTTGGGCAAGTATGTCGCTTGATAGACATGAGATGGAATGTCACATCGTACTCCGGGGTACACGTTCTCAAGCCACGTGCCACTCTGCGCGTTGTTAGTGCAATTCTCCCACAACTCTTGCGTGCACTTACAACATCGTCGTTCTTCTCAAAGATGGTCAAGTCGATGCCCGGCACTTTCGCTGGCAGAAGAATACCTGCATTGATACCAGCTAGACCGGCACCGATGACAGTGACGCGAAGGCTTCGTACATGATCGATGTACTGCGTTGGGCTCAACTGCAGCTTCGAAACGGGGTAGGAAGTTGTCAAGGCAGCGTGAGATGCATCTTGTTTGGTGCCCTCTGCTGACGCGAGATGTTCTGCGAGCTGTGCGACGCGTCGCGATGGTGTTGACTCTTGCCCCGAAGCCGTTAGATTGGCCGCGGTTGATGAGATTGGGCTTGGCGTCATTATGTAAGCGATGGGTGTCCTCGCTGTCCCTGGAATGATGCCCTCTCGTCGGACGCATGTCTCTACCCATGACGACTTTAAAGCCCCGAGGTAAGCTGCCTCGCTATCACCAACTTTGCTCTCAAGCACCGATGCCGTAAGACGCTGTTAGATGCGCTATCTTTTCCCGGCCTGCAGAGCCGCCGGTCGGGCAGAAGGGCAATCACGTCTTTTCTCCGCTTGCTGACGAAATCGGCTCGCAGCAATCGCGGTGGTTGTCGTGCTCGCTCCCCTGTACTGACGCGACCCTGCGCTCGAGAGAGAGAGAGAGACAGCAACTAGGACAAATTTGCGACGCCCAAGAAGGCATCGCCGGCGTCGTTCCCCATTGCAGGATGCGACCCAAAGCAAGATCGCGTTGCAATGCACATCTCCAAGCTGACGCATACTGATATGGCATCTCGGTCACGTATACCAGATCTTAGGACGTATCGAATCTCTGAGAGCATTTGATTTTGTTCAAATACACGACATCTTAGCTTGCTTAATTGCATTTGCTTTTCACTCCGGAATGACGTGGTCCTTAGCATCGACTCCCGCCTTCCACCGATACGTCGATGCCACGTGCTCCTCAAGCGGCCCTTTCTGTCCCTTCTTCGCATAGAAGTTTTCGCGATACGTGCCACCAGGTACAGCATAATCGTCCCAGAACAAACCCCGCTTCTTGAGCTCGGGAAGCAACAGCTCAATCATGTCCACAAACGACTGTGGAAAGACGGCGTATGCCTGGCTCATGCATCAGACTCAATACTACCACAATAACCGGGACACGACTCACCATGTTGAAACCGTCAACGTCGGCCTCGTCAATCCAGACTTGCAACCCATCCGCGACTTGGGAAGGAGTCCCAACAAGAATGGGACCGTTTCCACCGATGCTTACGTGCTCCGCGACCGTATGCTTCGTCCATTTGGAAGTTCCAGGAGAGAACCGAGCGTAGCCTTCGACAGTAGATCGCACAGCGTTGCTCTCGACGTGACGCAATTCCTCATCGTCTCCGTATTTTCCGAGATCAATGCCAGTCCAACCACAGAACAGCGACAACGCTCCTTCCAAGGACGCATATTTGCGGTAATTGGCAAGCTTAGCATGGGCCTCTTCTTCGGTTTGGCCGATGATGGGTGTCACAAGGGCAAGAAACTTGATGTTCTTCCCTTCCCGACCGAACTGCGAAGAGGCAATGTGTCGGATTTCTGCGATGTTCTTCGCACAGACCTCGGGCGCATGGGCGGAGACAAATATTGCTTCCGCATTTTGTGCTGCAAAGGTCTTTCCTGCCTTCGACGCTCCCGCCTGGAGGATGAGAGGCGTACGTTGCGGGCTTGGCTGGCATATGTGAGGGCCCGGGACGTTGAAGTACTTTCCCTCGTGGTTGATCTCGCGCACCCGATCGGGTACCGTGTATACGCCATTCTTCCGGTCTAGTACGACTGCATCGTCTCTCCAAGAAGACTCTAGCAGCTTATACATGACCTTCACATATTCCTCAGCCTGCGCATAGCGCTCGTCATGCTGAAGTGTATCAGCAAAGTCTCCAGCCAAGCCAAGCCGAGGTACACGAAACACTGACCGGCAGTTGCTCCTTCATACCCATGTTACGCGCAGCCGAGTCAAGATAGCTGGTTACAATCTGTAAAGGTTATTATCCATGCAGCGATCGAAGAAGCACATTGCCTCACATTCCAGCCCAGTCTAGATCAAGTCAGTCCCTGAGCCAGATAAGAACAACAGATGTCTAACCTTCCTTTCGAAAGATGATCGACCGTCGATAATCTCCGAGCAAGGTGGTACGGCTGTTCGTATGTTGTCGAGACAGTCACGCCGAATCCGATGCTCTTGGTGACTGCTGCCATGGCACTCACAATGGCCAAAGGCTCATTGACTGGCCATTGCGCGCCTGAGATTTTTGCAGCATCAAGATTGCCATTGTAGACATCATATCCACCGAGCACGTCGGCTACGAAGATACCATGAATTTTGGCATTTTCAAGCAGCTTCGCAAGCTCTACCCAGTGCTCGATGTTGTTGAACTCATGTGAATGGTCATCAGGATGTCTCCACAGGCCTGGTGACTGATGGCCACTGCCTATTGGAGGTTAATTGTTAGCTGATGGCAAGTTGCTCGATCGACTTGCTGCTCTTCCATGTAGATTGGCTTTATGAGGGGGCGTCACGTGAACTTACACATCTCAACGAAGGCATTGATGATCAGCTTCTTCTTGCCTTTCGGTGTCGCATCAGTCTTTCGCCTTGCATTCTTCGAATTTGCAACACCATTCTCTCGGTTTCGCTTCGCCATGGTAGGAATCAATGATTGTTTCGCAAAGTATCGAATGGTATCGTGCGGAAGAAAGGTCGTGGTTCTGGAGGTCGGATGATGTGCTTTGAGCGCTCTCAAACGCAATCGCTTAGGTATCTGCGGGATGCGTCATCACGTCAACTCCGAGGTATCACTATTTGTTTGTCTCCGATGTAGGCCCTTCTATCTACGCTACGCGACGGTAAGTTGAGGGGGTAAATTGATAGCATGCCGACTATGCGTATTGTGCCATCTTAACCCACAATGACAACAGTTATTCGCGCACCTAGAAAGTCCTTGTTGTAAACTTGCAGATCGCATCTAACCTACTTGAGTAATCTAAATGCGTATTCCCGGAGAGGTCGCAAACAGAAACCCGAAAGTTGGCGATCAGAAGCCAGTTGAGGAGTCGCATTGAAGGAGAATCGATCTGCCACCAACGCCAGAGGCACACACCCTGAGCAACCTGAATGTCAATCTTCATGATGTTGCACGTCAAGCGAACTCGTAGTATCACAGCAGCGTCTTCAAAAGAGACCATATCGAAAAGACGTAAAACAATCGAACAGGTCCAGCCAAAGGGCAAAGAAGAGACGCTTCCCACGGTACAATCAGCATTGAAGCTACATGCAATACGTCAACCATACAACGTCTCGACCGACCACCCTCTCCCAAGCATCCAACACGACAGCGAACTCCTAGTAAAAGTGCAAGCTGCAGGCCTCAACCCAATCGACTGGAAAGCACCGTACGAACCGACCACCCAGCCCCATACCCACATATCCACTAACAACCCTCCAGCGACTACAACTTCGGCATCCCAACCCTCCCCTATATATCCGGCCGCGAATACAGCGGCACAGTCCTCCTCACCCCAACAAGAACCTCGTCTCGCATCAAAAAAGGCGACCGCGTCCTCGTCCCTTCAACCGACTACCGCGACCCACGCAAAGCCGCCTACCAACACTACAGCATCGCATCCACTTTCAACACCATCCGTCTACCACCGAACATCACCCTTAATTCCGGCAGTATCCTAGGCGTAGCTTTTGTCTCCGCCGCCCTCACACTAGGGATATGTCTCGGCCTCGATTTCTCCGACATTGAGAACGGGCCTGACATTTTCGGTATTGTACGGAGTCTGGATCAGGAGGATATACCGAGTGATATACGACAAGAATGTTTCCATAGTATTGGCGCCAAAGAACGTATCAAAGCCGGAGATAACCTGGTTATCTGGGGCGCGGGATCGGTGTGTGCGTTCGTCACGATGCAGATAGCACGATTAGCCGGGGTGAAAGTCATAGCAGTTGTCGATGCCGCAAAACACGGTTCCAGACTTCTGGCCTCGGAAGCAGCGCGACCGGATTATCTCGTTGACGCGCACGACGCAGGAAGAGCGGTGGAAGTAATCCGCGCCTATACTGGGAAGACAGACGCGCGCTTTGGCTTCGACACGCTGGGTAGAGAAACAGCGGTGCACTTGATGAGCGCTCTTGCTCATCCTACTGTTCCACCGTCATCACAGGCCATACTGCCGACTCCGCCGTCAACACCGCATACCCCCGTTTCTACGGCGCAGCGATCTCATCTCGTGGGCTTGACGGGTCTACCAAAGGATGACGTACCGAAAGACGTTGCGCTGCACAGTGTGCCGATTAAGCTTTATCACGAAGTGCCACAAGTGGGCGAGGCGCTCAGTGCGTGGTGCGAACGGCTGCTGGCCAAGGGAATGTTGGTACCGCCGGAGGTTGTGGGTACGGTTGAGGGGTTGGAAGGGGTAAATGCGGGGTTAGATCGGATGAGGCGACGGGAGGTCAGTGGTGGGAGATTGGTTGCTGTTTTGAACTAGAGTGAGGTGAAGAGAAAGGGAAGAAAGGTTATTCCATGCCAAGTCTTGAGATAGATGAACATGTGTGTAGAGGTAAGGATATCCCAATGCATTTTGATATATAGTACAAGTCGCAAATCTCCATCTCGCCTTTCTTTGCGAAAGACTAGACGATGAGTCTGCGCAAAAGGCAGTAGTGGTCATCCAGGGTATTGGTCATTCGTAGTCGTCGTCGTTACAAACTACGCCAATGTGATCCCCTTCGCTGCGCCAGCCCAACTGGGCAGCGTCAATGCCAGCAAAACAAAGCACCGCAACGCCTTTCCAAAATGCATAATATGCCAAAAGCCATCAAGTTATGGCTGCGTTTTTGCTACGCCCCTCCCCCAATGCGCCCATGATGCAAAGTCCAAGTCCATGATGATGGGTATAGAGAAAGAGAAGAAAAAGGCAAACGTGGAAACCTAGAAAGGGGTATGCGCTAAAAGACAAGGCTGATGAAGATGAAGATGATAGCTGCGTTGTCGTAGGGATAAAGAAGTCATTTCGGGTATTGAGTTACGCGGTTCGTGACAAAGGGTTTTGTTCAAAAAAGCGACAGGAGTAGCAACGTTAATGTTCGTCTTCGCTGCTCCACGCGCCATCGTCTTCTTGATCGATACTTTCCATGACTTCCTTGATGACGCCGTGGCTCTTCGGGTCCAGATTCATGGCTATCGTGAGGTGGCGGATGGCGCTCGCGCGGTCTCGCAACTTCTTGTAACACCTACCTAGCAGGAAATGTATGTTGGGATCGTCTGGAGCAGCGTCTTTCAGGTAGAGAAGCTCGTGTAGGGCCTCTTGCGGCGCGTTCAACTTCAGCAGGACTTGCGATTTGCGGAAGCGTGCCATAACGGAGCGTGGTTCGATCTTGATCGCGTTTTCGAACTGCAGCAATGCGGGTTCAGTCTTCTTCATGCGATCCAGAACCTGCGTACTCATGTTAGTATTCGACAGACAAATAAGGGCAATGATTACTTACCAAGCCTATCCGAACAAGGAGCATGGCGTTATTCTGGTTGATCTCCGCCGCGGCCCGATAGTGCTTTTCAGCCACCTCGTACTTGCCCAGACGCTCGTAGACGTTTCCAAGACCGTACCAACCGTTGTAGTGCCTGTTATCGGCACTGATGGCGTTGCGATAAGCCGCCATGGCTTTATCAAACTCCTCATTTGCGACATGCTCATGACCTTGGAGGGTGAAAGCATAGGCGAACTTTGGATCCAACTGGGTAGCTCGAGCGAAGCATTTGACGGCTTCATCATGTTGCCCGTTTATAGAGCTTGCATTACCCAGTGCACACCAAGCTTGTGGAGAGAGACGATCTTGATCCATCAGCGTGTGTGCAAGATGACCCAAGGCCACCTCGTCCCTGAGCTGCCAGAGCGTATTGGAATATACTTCCATATGCTCTGAGGAAGCAGGTGCCAGTTCTCGTATCTTTCGAAACGTGCTGGCTGCGTCTGTGTAATGGGTGCGCTCATAGTGGGCCTTGCCGATCTGCGCCAGGACCCAAGGTGTTTCTCGCTGTGACTTGGGCACGAGTCCAAATGCCTCAAGTGCCTTTGATGCATCATAGCGACTCAGATGCCTGTATCCAGAAGCTATCTTGAGGAGCAGGTCCAGGAGCCAGCTCAAGACATCTCGGTCCCGTGAAGTATCTGCGGGCGGACCCATTCTTGGGGGCGGTGCGACAGTCGTCTCCGCCACGCTCCGTGGTCTCTCCGGCTTTGAGGGCTCAGAATTGTCGACATGCGGTTTCCTGTTGCCACTAACAACTCTGCCCACAGTCGAGCCTGTACCTGAGCGTGGCTTGGGAGCTGCCGCCCTTGCTTTTCGTAGCTCGCGCCGCTCTTTTGACTCGAGGTCTCTGCTTGAGGTGCCGCCTGGTCTGCTACTTGAAGGCCGAATCTGAGTGATGGAGTTCAGCAGCCGCACACTGCGCCGTGGGGGAGCTGCTGTAGGATCGAAGGGTTGCGATTGTTGTTGTGATTGGGAGTGAGGTTGCTGCGGTGCTTGTGAGTGGGGCTGTGGCTGCTGCAGAGAATGGCCAGATACGGTTCTCTTATGTCCGTTCTGGTATACGGGCCGCGGAATGTCCGTTTGATCACTCTCTGGGTTCGTCTTGGTACGGGCTCTTGATGTTATGGGGCGCATTTGAACTGGGCCGCCAGCCTCACCCATCATGGCGTGCTCGTCGTGTACGTTTTGGCCGTTGACAAAGGGGTTTTCGACGTCGTTGTATGAAGGCGGCTGCGTGCTGCGGCCATTCATCCTAGGCTGGAGGTTATATGAGGAGGCGGGAGGGAGCATGTCGGGCGTGATTTTGAAGATGTTGTGAGGGCGGACGACGGCGCCAATATCGCAGAGACCGGTGAAGGCATCCCACATGAAGGAGTTGATCTTGAGCGCGGCGACAAAGTGTTCAATGGCCTTTTTGGAGTCGCCGTGGGCTGCGTACAGCTTTCCCAGCATGCAGTAGCAGGCGGCGGCGTCGGGTACATGGCGTCGTGAGGTCTCGGAATGCTTGTCTATGACGATTGTCAATACAAGTCACCAGTGTTTACTCGTATCAATACTCACTCCAGTGGTTGCGCCCCGCCCAGGAGCTGCGCATCTTCTCCAGCGCCTGGGCTCCCTGCTCGTAGCGGCCGAGGGCGAGACAGGCCTGGGCAAAGACGTAGGCGCATCCTAGATGCTGGGTGTGGTTGCCCTTGGCCCGCGCATCGTCCAGGGCTTGCTTGTATCTTCCCAGACGGAGGTTGCACAGGGCAAGTAGGTGCGCGGCATCGTGGCTGCGGGGGTCGAGGGCGTGCAGGCGGCCGGCAAAGAACAGGGCGTTTTCAGCGAAGCCGTTGTCGAGGTGGTAGTATACGATCTGGCGCAGCTGGGCATTTACGCCTGGGGGTGCTGACATGCTTGCTGGGCGGCGGCGGAGACAGGGCGGAGACTCAAGGTAATGCGCTCATAGTCGGGGCGGCGTTGGCTGGAGCGGCGGCGGTGGTGATGTTGCGGGCAGGCGGGTGGACGCGGTCAAGGTGTAGGTTTACGCGCTACGAGTGCCAAGACATGTAACAAAACAATGTCCCGCCTAGAGACGCACGACGTTTCTCTGCACACGTCCAGCCAGTCACAGCCACATCGCACCTTCACCATGGCCAAGGTACGCCCGCCCGCCCGCCGCCCACTGCCACGCACCCGTCACTGACAGCCCCCGTAGAAAGCCACCAAGACGCTCGCGGCTTCCAATGCCCAGCGCCTCAACCAGACCCTCTACATCACCCTCGCCGTCCACGGCCTCTGGTGGCTCCTGCGTGCCCTCGTCTTCCGCGCCTCACTGTCACGCAAGTCATTGATCGTCTATCTACTCCTCTCGGCTCCGCAACTGCTCATCCAGCTGTACTTCGAGCGCCTCTCGCGCCCCACCCTCGATGCCGATGGCGCCGTCAAGCGACCTGGCGAAGACCTCGATGCCAAGGGCCTGACTGAGTACATGTGGGATGTCGTCTATTGGACGTATGGCTGCATTGTCATGGCTGCTATTGTGGGAGACTACGCCTGGCTTTTGTGGATTGTGATCCCTGTCTACAGTGCCTATTCCGCTTACACCACATACACGGGCATGAGGGGTGGATACCAGGATGCAGCCGGTGTGCCCCAGCCGCAAGCAAGCAAGAGACAGGCCAAGATGGAGAAGCGAGGTGGCCAGAAGATGCAGTACCGGTAAAGGCCAGCGTCAGATCATCATGTATTATATATACAGCATTATACATAAATTTAGGCTTCAACCCGCGTAGGGATCTTCGGGATGCCTCGTTTGCGGTCCTGGTGCGGCACACCATACCGCCATCCAGCAGCCGCGGCGCCTCTGCCGTCTCTGCCTGCAGCCTCTACGCTGACGTCCTTGAAGACGAAATCCCACCTCCGCTGTGGCACCACTTTCATGGCCCTAAGCTCCTCTTCCTTGCGCTTCTCTTCTTGCCTCTTCTTTGCTTGCTCTTGCTCGAATCGCTGCTCGGCAAGCTTCTTGCGCTCCTCGAACGAAAGTCCAGACTGCAATTCACGCTCAGCCTGCACAAGTTCTGGATGAGGAATGCGTGCGTCGGCCGGCAACAGCGTGTTGTCAAAAGCCTTGCCAGCATCTTCACGCGTGAATTGCCGAGACTCAGCAACAGGCACAAAGAGCTGCTGGCGTGTCGCGGGATGTACCGCGAGGTCGTTGATGGGCTCGTGCGTGATAGGACGTTTGTTCTTGTTCCCAGGGAGCGAGGTATCGATGTGTGGGGTTGTTGGAAGCATGGAAAGAACAGCCTTGGAGTAAGGGAGCGCGAGTGTTTTACCCTGCACACATTGGATTAGCAATTGTAATACAGTGTGTTTCCGTTGTTTCAAAGAACAAGCCGACGACGTTCAGCAAGAGCATGACTTAAGTTTTGTAACCATGTGGATGTCTTAAAGACTAATCGATTTTTAAGAAGCTCATCATGTCGTGTTGTGGGGGAATTGATGGAAATGGGAGAACATACCTGCGCTATCCACTC